CTTTCTCAAATATGCCAGGGGTAGGCAGATAGTCTTCCTCTGCATTAAGAAATGCGCTGGCGTGAGTGGCTGAAGGTCATTTGGGTCGTCTGAATTGGCGGTGGCGCTCGCCCATTTAACACTCGTTCAACTTCAGTCAACAGCGTCTGAAGAACTGCTTCCGTAACTACTTGGGTCCCTAGGATAGACTTCAGAACAGTCTTAGCACGCCGCACCATCCGCTCCCAAATCCCAGACATGCTAGAAGCAGTTGGCGGCTGGAAGACCCATTTGCACCCTCGTTGTAGAAGCTCTTGCACAATTTGTTGCTGGTTCCACTGCTCGATCGACTCTCTCAGCTCTCGCTCACCGCCGACAAAATTTGATCCTCTGTCACACCTTAGTTCAGTCACTTCACCACGACGGTTCATAAATCGTCGCAGACACATTATGAAGTCGTTTGTGTCCATCGAGTGAACCAATTCAAGATGTACACTACGTGTCGTTAGGCAAGTAAATAAGCAGCACCACCGTTTGGCTGTTCCTCTTCCATGCTTGACGATAAAGGACCGAATAGATCCATTCCTGTGTAGGAGAATGGGGGTTCGTACGCCATCATCCGGCTTCTTGGCAGGGGAGCCATTTGCTGAGTCATCGGCTTGGCATTCAACTTCTTACAAACAAGACACCGACCCAGGACAGAACGAGTTAACACCCTTATTTGTGGGATCCAGAACGTCTCTCGAACCCTTGCTATGAGGTGTTCACGCCCCAGGTGACCAATTGATGCATGGGTGTGGCGGACCATCAGGACTGTCGCTGGATGATCTCTGGGCAGTATTATTTGATTCCTGGCAGTGTCAGCAGCTGGTGGTGATGCTATACGTCCCTTGACTCTCAAAACACCATGGTCGTCTTGCATTGGGTTCAAACTAGCGATCTTACTGGATCCCCTGACTTCGCCCCCTGGTCTTTAGATCCTTGATCTCTTGATCGTAGGCTGCGTGCTGGACGATCTTTGCGATGGATAAGGTAGCAGCATCGTAATCTTCTAAAGTCAGATGACCTGTGTGGACAGTCTTCCGGTCACGGATGAAATGAGTGAAGCGTGTGAGCCAAAGCCACTTGACGCCTGAGACGGTTCCAATCAGAGGAGGTGCTTATTATTTGTTGCATGGTGGTCTCAACAGGTGTGGCGGGGGGCAATTAGACTGTACGCTTGCCTGGCGGGTCTTGACATTGGTGTTTATGTCAGTACAGTTAGCATGGGTTTCTTTCTTAAGCTCTAGGCCTTCATCAGGGACTTCTCGAAGGCTTGCGTTGGGCCAAAAGGATTCAGGTTGCCATAAGAACTCTGGTCCTCGTAGCCAGCGGTGATCAAGGTTTAGCTCAGAGGGGTTCAAGCCACGTGGCGCATCGTCGGCTGGGTTCAAGACACCTGGCACGTGGTTCCAGTCGTCTGGCTGTGAGTTTCCTCTGATTTCTTCGACTCGATTAGCGACATAGGTCTGGAAACGACGCCTTTCATTCTTCAAGTAGTGGAGAACTATTTCGCTGTCTGTCCAGAACTTGGTGCTCTGAATAGGAAGGTCCAACTCTTCTCTCAGCATCTTATTCAAGCGTGTAGACAGAACAGCAGCTTGGAGTTCAAGCCTTGGAATGCTTGTGAACTTGACAGGTGCATTTCTTGCTTTCCCCACAACAAACGAGCAGTGAATAGACCCATCTGGATTCTCGACTCTTAGATACGCAGATGCACCGTAGCCAATTTCAGAGGCATCAGAGAAGATATGCAGCTGTAGTTTGCATTTGGAAGCATCTGTTCCAGCTGGCAAGTAGCAACGTGGGATGCGCAGTGCAGAGAGGGATGACAGCTGTGAGGTCCAAGACTTCCATCTGGCTAAGAAGTTTTCTTCGAGTGGCTGGTCCCAGTCTACCTTAGCCTTCCACATATCCTGGATAATTACTCTGGCAGTAAGGGCCACAGGCGCAGCAAACCCAAGAGGGTCATACAGGGAACAAACGGCGGACAGTACTCACGCTTTGTTTCGGGTCGATTCAAGTTCTTGATGTCAAATCCAAGCTCATCTGTTTCAGCAAACCAGCGAATCCCTAGCGCCCTTTCCACTGGCAGTTCGTCTAAGTCAAGATTCAGATCTGGTGAGGCTCTTTTCTCGGTGGGAATGGTTGCCAAAACATTCTTACTGTTCGTCATGAATTTTGTAAGGTTGAAGCCACCGTGATTCAGGATTTTCACTAGGTCCGATGCTACAGTAGATGCTGCATTCTCCTCACTGAAGGATGGCAGAGCATCGTCAACATAAAAGTTCCTGTCAACAGTTGCAACAACTTGCGGGTTGAACCTTTCAGCATTGTCACTGGCTGTTCTTCTCAGGGCCGAATTTGCAACGCAAGGGGACGAGGTTGCTCCAAATATGTGTACTTCCATAACATAGACATCCGGGGTTTGTCGTAATCATCTGTCCACCAGAGGAATCGTAGAGCTTCTTGATCTTGTTTACGCACACGCACTTGATGAAACATTGCCTCGACATCAGCGGCTACCCCTACATGCCCCTGTCGAAATCGCAGCAGCACACCAACGAGACTGTTTGTCATGTCTGGCCCTTGAACGAGATTCTTGTTTAGAGATGTTCCTTCATACTCAGATGCGGCATCGAAGACGATACGGAGCTTGTCAGGTTTGTTGGGATTGGTCACTGGATGATGAGGCAAGTACCAAGTTATCGAGCTTTCTCTAGCTGCTTCTTCAGGGGACAATTTGCGTGCATAGCCCTTCGAGATGTACTCAGTCATGACTCCACGGTACTTAGCAGCCATTTGCTCATTTCCTGCTTTGGTCAGGCGTCGTCTAAGCAATTCTGCTCGTCTTTCAGCTAAAATGCGATTGTTTGGCAGCTTTGGCTGATCTTCCTTCCATAGTAGGCCAACCGTAATGCCCGTCTACAAAGGTAGTAGTTTCTTCAATGATTTTTAGGGCTCGTTTGTCTTCCACAGATAAGGGCTTCTCTCCTGCTTTCAATGTTCCATAGTCTTGATCTTCCAAAACCTTTCAACAAAGTCGTCAGGTTTGTGTCCAACAGAGATGAAATTGAGCTCAGCTCTTCTTGTCCCAGCGATAGTCAATGGACCTGAAATGCTCCAACCGAGAGGGTACCGATAACCGTAGGGGCCGCTCTTGTTGTCTTTCGGGATTCTGACTTCCTTCTGCAAGTGTGCAACAGGGACGTTACTCCCCACAATGATCGAGACTCGTTTAAAGTCCACCACTGGGAATGTAAGGTCTTGAAGGTGCGGATACTTATGGACATCTACTGTCCCCGGCAAAACTCGTTCTGATTGGTTCAGGTCAGGAGAACGTAAGCTTCATTAACATCAATGTCTTCACCATATGCTTCTACAGGACTGAGAGTAAAGGAAACGCGTCGACTCTCCACCAGCTCCTCACTGTTCGTAATAGTCTTAATCCCGATTTGCTCCGAGATCCCTTTCAGGTCAAGATGATCAGCAAGCTCTTTGTCAATGAGGGTATCGGTACACCCATTGTCAAGAAATGCATATGTAGAAAGGGAACCACCGTTCTCTGCAGTAATGGTTACAGGAACTACATTTAACAAAACTTGGGCTCTTGTGGTGCTGACACCGCAGATGTAATCGAAGTCTGTGGCCTGTCGCTGGGCGGCTGTCTTGTGCCTTGCTCCATTTGTGGTTGCCGGGTTATTGGGTCAGCAGTCGGAGTACTGTATCGGTTAGTGGGGTTATGAGTGTTCTTGTTTCCAGGAGTTCTCGTCCATTGTTGTTGTCCCTATGCAGTATTGGTAAGTGGTGTCCAGGACACCGAGAACAAGCTGGTGGCTCAGGACAGGAAGTACCACTGTGATCGGGATTATGGCAACCACAGTTAAAGCAGAACCCATACGATGCTGCGTATTGTCGACGCACGGCTACACGGTCACACTGTTTGACGATTGGGCACTCCTGGAGTCGGTGGGGAGTAGACTTGCAAATTGCACAGTTTGCAGAGTTCTCTTTCTTGGGGGCGTTCTTAAGCGATGTGGCGTTGATCGTAGCGTTTTTAAGTGGGCAGGTCCGATCCTTTAGAAGCTTTGGGGGGGACTTGTTTGTCCTGTTTTCTCCCTTTGCGGCTGCATTCCAAACACTGGGTCATTCCTTATTGACGCTTGCCTTTTCACGAATTTTGCAATGTCCTTTAGTCGTGCAGTTCCACCACTAACTAACAATCTCGTAGTTTTCGGTCTGCCACTTGGTGATTAAATCATTTGGGAGTCTGTTTACGATTCTTCTTAAATTGGTAGCTACGCTTGCTTCGCTGCGTTCCACATCTCCCTTCAGAACCTTGGTTGAAGTGTTCAGCTTCTCGGCAAAATTAAGCAGACCCATGTTGTCACCATAGGCAAGTTTGGGGCCTGAGACTAACTCTTCGATGCAGGCTTGCGTCACCTGAATAGGGCGACCAAAGCGTTCCTCTAAGATCTTCATTAGCTCACTATAGGAGGAGCCTCGGTTTCTTTTGATGACCTCCAAGGCTTCTCCTTTCAGGAACTTCGGTAAGTACTCTACCCGCTGCGCATCAGTTAGTAGCTCACTTTCAAGGTGAGTATGTGCTTGTTCTTTGAAGAACGGGAAGTCTGCTGGGTTGCCATTAAAGGGTGTAGGAGAGATTCCGTTCAGAAGCTGTACCTTCCACATGGCTGCTACATGGTCTTTAGGGGCTTGTGGAACGCGAAGCAAGCGTAGCTACCAATTTAATAGGCATATCACCTAAATAAGAAGCCGACCAATCTGTAAATAACTTCCAAGGTCGTTTATAAACGGATACAGAAGCGTTACTCAAGCTTGCCTCTAAAAGAGTTTTGTTAGAACTGCCAGTTCTCTGGTAATAGTTGGGGAGGCACAGCTGTTGGTTCTGGCGCCATGTCCTTGGACAGGGACTTGAATTTGGTCACCTGTAAACGCGATAAAGCATCAGCTTTCGTGTTATGAACGCCTGGGAGGTGTACAGCTTTAAATAAGATATTGTTCTGCAAACATGATAGAACCAAGGCGCGAAGAAGAACCAACAGCTCCCTATCTTTAGGCGTCTGTTTATTAATTACTTCCGACAAGGCTTGATTGTCGGTGTGAAAGGTTATGCATTTGTTCGCCAGCTGAGTACCCCATATTTTTATACTGATAACAATAGGAAACATTTCTAGCACAATAATATTCTTAGAGGTCCAGGATGGGGGCCACGGACCGTAAAACCAATTCTGACGAAACACCGCTCCATAGCCTAGAGAGCCAGAAGCATCAGTATAAAGATGCAAGTGAGGTGATGAAAGCCATTGAAAGTCTAAGAAGAATGATTTGCCATTGAATTGTGTTAAAAATTCTAACCAGAGCTTAAGGTCGTCCTTGACTATACACGTTAATCTAATTAAATGAGTCGGGCAATTGACCCCAACTGTCAAATTAATCATTTGTCTAAGAAAGGTCCTGCCGGGTATAACGACTGAACAAGTGAAGTTCAGAAGACCAATAAGGGATTGCATCTCCTTAAGGGAGACTTTTTTACGCTTGAGAAATTCATAAATAAGAGTAACACATTTTCTTAGCTTTTCTTCTGGGAGGCGAGCCTCCATTTTGACAGTGTCTAGTTCTATTCCGGCGAAACATAAAGCACTACTGGGACCCATTGTCTTTTCAGGCGCCATGGGGACACCCAAGTCGTCACACATCGCTTAAAACCTAGACAGATTTTGTTCACAAGCTGAGAAAGTTTTGTCTATGAGAAGGAAATCATCTAAAAGGTGTAAAACACCTGAGATAGCTAACTTAGACTTAGCAATCCACTCGAGAGCGGTTGAAAAGCTTTCCCAAATTTTGCAAGAGGAACTGGCTCCCATCGGCAGGCATTTATCAAAATAGAAGCTGTCCTCCCAACAAAAACCTAACAAATCATAGTCGCATGGATTTATTGGAATTAGGAAAAGCGTTTTTGACATCTGTCTTAGCTAGGGCACAGCCCCTGCCTGTGCGCCTGATAAGTCTAACCGCATAAATCAATCGAGGCATATTTAACCGTAGAGGCATCGTTAGGAATACAAGAGTTAATAGAATCACCGTAAGGAAAAGATAGGTGGTGAATAAGGCGAAATTCTCCTGGCGTCTTTTTAGGAATTAAACCAAGCGGAGAAATGCGTAATGAAGGAAAAGGTCGTTCTAAAAATGGCCCTGCAATCCGACCTAGACTTAATTCTTTTGACAGTTTATCGGAAACGGCTACAGGGTTTTGAGTAGCGGATAAAAGATTTTTGCAAATGGAGGGTTTGTGGGGCCCTACATAAGCCAATAAAAACCCATGTTGACATCCATTTAAAAGATAGTCTTTCAATTTAGTTGGATAGCCATCTAGGTAAAAATGTAATCTATTTACTTTGACTGGTGTTGGTAGTTGGACTGGATGCGACAGTGCGAGAGGTGCCGACAGTTGGTTTTCCCGACTTGCATTTTGTGGCAGGGTGATCGCCTCCACATTTAAAGCAGGCGTGTTTGAAATAACACCCAAAACATCTTTCACCTTGGTGGAATTTCCAGCAGAATCCTCGCGGAAAGGGCTGCTTTGATTGCCGGTTAAACGAGTTAGGCGGATTGTTTGAGGATGAAAGTTTGGTCATGTGGTGCGCCTGCAACCACAATTCCCAATGCACTTCGTCCCAAGGGAAAAGAGATTTTTGACGTAAATAGCGAAAATTTTCATCATAATAACGCCAATGAGCGTTTTTTGCCGCCAGATCGCGCACTGTCGCACTGTATTTCATTAATCCGGGAGCGCCGTCCGGAAATCGGATGGTATAGACGGCAACAAAAACCTGAAATGCGGTAGTCCATTGATCGATGCTAGTAATGCGCTTAGAGTTTTGGACGGGTTCGAGACTGACCACAGGCTGGTTGGATCCAGATGATTTTACCGTGAAGTTGTATTTGGGATCGCCTGGCAAGGACGATAGAAGAGTTCCGAGATCGATATATTCGTTGGCCCATATTTTAGATCGAATTTTGTCCGGAACTCTACTCGAGAGTGGAACGGAAATTAAGGAATGGATTTTATCAGGCCTGTGGTCGGTCTCTGGCCCGCTAGTAATGGAGGTAGAAGTTAAAGTGTGGCCCTCACCAGTTAGGTCTTAAACAACCTGCGCTACTGACCCCTGTACAGCAGCAGCAGGGTCGGAGGTCTGTACTGGCTCTTGAGGGATTATTCCTGCGGACTTCAGGCTTTCAACTACAGCCGAAGAAATAGCACTCGTGATGCTTGAAACCATATTCTGAGAGACAACTGAACTCGAGGCCGCGGGACTTGAGACTGAGGATGGCCCACTGATAGCCGGCTCTCGGGAAAGTTCGCTTGGGTGCGGCATTTCGGGTGGGTTGAGAGCAGGAACCGAGTGTACTCGAGAGGTCTGCTTGGGCCTCTTGGACTTGGTGGGGCGAGATGTACTGCGGGCCATGGCCCTCGGGCGTTTAACTGGTGCACTGGAGGCTGTTGCGGTAGAACTTCGCTTGCCTCTAGTCATCATCGTGGAATATGGTTTAATTTCAAGCAAATCTAGACCGCAAGCAAAGGAACTTGAATAAATAAGCCTAAGGCGTTGGTATGGGAGATAAAATAGTAAAAGAGTGAGTGGGGAGGGAGGTGGGGGGTTTCCAATCCAGTAGCATTCTGCTCAAATTACAAATTGGAGAGAGAAAAAACGGAACCGGCAATAAAAGAAAAATCGGCAGCATGTTTGGCAATTTCCAAATTGGAGACGCCGCATTAAACATGCTAAAGCGCCGGACAGAGGAACCGGTCCGTAAAATAAATACAATATCTTATAACAAAAGATAAAGCTCTCCTGTCCGCCATAAAGGACGGTTACAACGAAAGTAGAATGCATGACTGGATAGACAAGTTGGAATCTGTCACTGAGCCTCAGAAAAAGTGGCTAACTTCTTCAACGCGAATAGTATGGCTCCCCTATAGCTACGATAAAGAGCATAGTTACCCACTGCGTTCAAATGAACGCCGTCTCGGCATAAAACGGCAATAGATGGACTTTGAAGCCCTCTATGGCTCCAAGCTTCAGCATAAGGGAGTGGTTCGAGGACCACTTTGAGATATTTATTGAGGTCTACTTTGTGGCTGAAATCGGGAACGTGTGGAGGAATAGCAGACCGGTAAATTACTAGGCATACCATTATAAACTCTGCTCCACAGTGATCATGGAGGACTTGAACTAAATGTTCAATATCTGAACCAACAGATTCGGGGCGCTGCCCCACTACACACAAATCATTAGTTCCCAGTTCTAAAATGATAACCTTTGGCTGAAAAGCCTTAATTTTATCCAAATCAAATGACAGCAATTTTAGAGACGGTTCTACTGCCAATGCCTAGAAAAGATATATTTTCGTGAGGCAAGTTCATGTTGTGAGCGGCACGCCTATCGTGATGTTCGGTGAGGAATGTCTGTAAACGCCTCACAAATGAATGACCAAGAATGAGAATGTTGGCGGTATTATCCATAACAGCAAACAGTTGAAAACAAGAAGTAAATGAGATATACTTAACGTTTGTTGTGGTGAATTCCCAAGGAGAGCTGCTTGTTCAAAGGATAAGCGGGTCAGCTATCGAAGATTCGGCTTGATGTCAGCTTTCAGACAGAGAGGATTAACAAAAGGTTACACCGTCTTATAAAGGGTCTCCGCGAGATAATGAGATCGAGGCTAAGTAGATTTACTTTGAGTGGCCTTACGACAGGAGCTCGTGATTATTACCCAAAAGTAATTTTACTTTTGGTCTTGTGATTCTCATGCGATCGTAAACCATTGTAAGATAATTCAAAGTTCACATTCGAGAGCCTCTAAGCCTTTGAAGCCACAATCGACCCCACCCCCCAAAATCCATGCATTGAAGAAATTGGAAGGGGAGACATAAAAATTTTTATTTGGTTCCAAATAAACTCATATATTTGAAGTCGATTTGGAATATCCTTCAAAACTATGGGAAACACATAATGACTATCCTCTAGCACCTGAGAAGATGATTGTTAATGGCGTTGAAAAACTAATTTGTCATTTTAAACCAAGAAAAAACTATGTTGTTCATTATCGAAATCTTAGACAATATCTTGAAATGGGAATGAGAATAACTGCGGTTCATAGAGGAATATCTTGTAACCAAGGACCTTGGATGGAACCATATATACGAAAGAACACAGAACTTAGGAAAACAGCACCTAACAGTTTTGAGAAAGACTTTTTCAAACTTATGAATAATTCAGTGTTTGGAAAAACAATAGAAAATATACGAAAAAGACAAAATATAGAACTTGTTGATAATCGTAAGAAAGCTGCTAAACTAACAAGTCGTCCAAACTTTGATAGGGCTACGATATTTGATAAAAATCTTATAGCTGTTCATATGAAAAAAACCGAAGTTTATTTTGACAAACCAGTATATGTAGGTCAAGCAATTCTAGATTTGTCAAAACCATTGATGTTTGATTTTCATTATAACTACATAAGAAAGAAATACAAAAATAAAGCTGAATTATTGTTTACAGATACAGACTCATTAATGTACCATATTTACACAGATGATTTTTATAAGGATATATCTCGTGATATAAAAAAAAAGTTTGACACTTCTGATTATCCTCCCAATCATGAATCTGGGATATTGACAGGAGTTAACAAAAAAGTAATTGGGATGTTTAAAGATGAAGTAGCAGGAAAACAAATAACTTGTTTTGTTGGATTACGACCAAAACTTTACAGTTTTAGAATAGAAGAGGATAAAGAGGTAAGAAAGTGTAAAGGAATAAAGAAAAATGTTGTTAAAAAGAAATTAGATTTTGATGACTATGTACAATGTTTATTTTCAGGTAAAAAACAAATGAGAAAAATGAATATAATAAGAAGTGAAAATCATGATATATATTCAAAAGAAGTTAACAAAGTAGCTCTAAGTAATGAAGATGACAAGCGCGAAGTACTCTTGGGAGAGGTAAAAACGATAGCTTTAAGATAAGTGAATTTAATAAAATTTAATAATAAATGTCATATACAGAAGACCAAATAAAGAAATATCAAGAAATATTCCATAATTATACTAGTAATCCCCCAGAGGAAGTGAATTTGAAAGCTAAATGTTGTGCTTGTGAAAACAGAACATCTTTTACAATTGATTACGGTTATAAAATTTGTGATGAATGTGGAGTAGCAAACGGTCATGTATTAGGCTTTTACGATAATAAAGATCATGAAAGATTATTTTATCGAAAAAAGAGTGTATATCAGCGTAAGTATCACTATGAGAAAAAGGTAGATCAAATTTCTAAAAGAATAAACCTTACCAACGAACAAAAAAATAAACTTTACAGTAAGTTAATGGAAATAGACAATCACATCATGGAAATACTAAACAAAGAATACAACAGAAAGAGAATGATAAGTATAGTATATTTAATTAAAAAACTTTTGGATGAGATGGGGGGTGAATCGAGCAAAGCGAGCAAACTAGTTTATGTTAAGATTTCACCACAAACTATAGATAATTATGAAAATTGGTGGGATAGTTATAAATCACTCAAAACTGGATAGATTTTAATATTGTTTTAATATTAAAATCACTGTTTACTTAGACCAAACTTTTTTTCATACCTACTAACAAATCTATCTGCTATTGGTGTTTGGTCAATTATCATTTCATCTATTAACTTCATGCGATCAACAAAATCTTGTTTATTCCACTCATTTCCACGAAGAGCTGACCGCAGTTCAACAAGTACTTTTTCATAAGTAGTGAAAGCAATTCTTTTCATCTCAATTTTTCTCTTATAATTATTTTTCTTTCCTATTCCCGCCACTATTAATCCAGCTCCATTTACTACTCCAAGAACAACAGGGTTTAGGGTTATTCCACCAGAAATAGTTCCTATCGCAACCAAACATATACCAGAGATTGTAAAAACATCATCAAGAAATTTATAACTTTTATACGATTTCTTAAAACACCAGTATTTTTTGTGGTAGTGTTTATAAAAGTCTTTGAGGGTATTAACCTCTGATTCTGACAAAGATTTGTCTATGTGATTAAATTCAAAGATATCCTTCATTTTATTCTTATGTGTATATTAATTATAGGTGAACCTACAGTTCCCCTATTACCCCTCCCTTGGTTACACCTATTTAAATTATGTAACTTCCATTTAACTTTTCTTGAAGCATTACTTTATGATATTGCTCAGAATCAGTGTCGTAAAAGTTTGGAGAGTACATTATTTTGCTTAACACTCCATCTTGAGTTGTAAACTCAAACTCTTGTTCGTTGGTGTAACGAACGATTGGTAAACTTAATATTGCGCTGTAGTTACTTATTTTAACTTTTGTAATATTTTGGCTAAAATCTTCTGTCAACCATCTAACAATTTTTTTTCTATTAAAATCTCTTATCATGGTAAATTGTTTTCTTACATTATTAATAACGAAATTTACTGTATTAGCTTTATTAGTATAGTTTAAATTTAATAAAGTAGCTGCGCTATTTATATCTTTTTTCTTTATACTAAAATTTCTATCTCTCCAATGATAAAAAATAACACATAAAGTATATTTTGTTATTCCATCAGGAGGATTAAAACTAACATTATAACCACCAACATTTAGACCTTCTTTTTTTATATCATCTATGGTTCTATTAGGTATACCTACATCTCTTAAAGTATTACCACTATTAGAAGATAAATAGTTAAAAACTATACCAGATGAGGTTCTATTTAATTTGTAATTAGCGGCATTAGTAAAATCATAAACTTCTTCAAAAATTTCCCTATAAAGATTGTTTATAGTGTGAGGATTCAATTCCTTTACCATTCCAACTGTTGCTGCGTTATTGTTATTGTTTCTATCAAGATTGACGTTCAATATTTTTTTATTATTTGCATTTATATTAACATTGTACAAAACTTCTGTTGGTTTGATATCAAATGCTGTGTGATAGTCGTAAACTTTATCTGGATCGATATTGCTAAATGTTCCCACAATTCCATAAGTAATTATATAAACTCCTGAAAACTGTCTCGGATAAACGGCTAAGTCAGTTCCATCTTGTGGTATATTAACCAAAATGTGAAGAAAGAACTTATTACCAGCTGACAACTTCCGGAAATTAACTATTATTCTGTGATAATACATAAATTCTGGTTGCCCATTTGATTGTGTGTACCTATGGGAGAGTTTCCTTACACTAACATCTCCAATTGATAATCCTGTTGAAGTTTCTTTGTTTACACTTATGCCACAGTTGATAATCAGTGTTGAGTATTTCCAAACACAGTGTGTATTCGGTATTTGCAGTTAACCTGTAAAAGTTGATTCCCATTTTGTACTTATATCCACCTTGGGAATTTTTGTATATAGTCGTATAAAGAACTTTGTGATTATAATCGTGAAAGTTGCCTTTACTAGGTGGTAAGTCATCTATCTTTGTTATATTAAAGGAGTTTCCTCCATCTATTTCATCCGTCCATTGATCCGAACTTGACATGAGATAACTAAACTGGTTGTTGTAATGACTTGGTTGAACTGCAGTGTGATGAACTAGTTTGTCAGCGTAATATTTATTTACCGCATCATTGTCTTGAGTTGGCTTACTAAGATTTATTATTTTATTATTACCAACATTAAGGTTCCCAGTCATAGTTACAGTGCCATCTTTTTCCAAATAATCAGTTAAATCTAGACTTCCAACATTATCATCCACATACTTTTTGTTTGCGGCATCTGTATTTGTTGTTGGAGTTGCGCGACCAACTATTTTTTTGTTTCCAAGATTTAGGTTATTAGTCATTACTACACTTCCATCTTTTTTTTATAAAAGAACTAGTATCAGGTATTGAATCATCCACATACTTTTTGTTTGTCGCATCAGTGTCTGATGTTGGTGGTCTAAGGTTAATTATTTTTTTATTATCCATGTTTAGATTATTAGTCATTGTAGATGAACCATCACGGGCAACATACTTTAAATCTGTAAAACCTAATGGTGTCGGTTGTTTGGGAACCGTTGGAGCTGGTAGATTTAATATTTCATTGTTGTTCATGTCTGTATTTCCAGTCATTTTACTAAATGTTCCATCAAGATTAAGATATTTTGTTGCTGCATAATACAATGGCACTGCATCACTAGGACCTATAGGATCACCTACAGCAATTATTCTATTAAACTCCATATCTAAAATCCCAGTCATTTTTCTTGTTCCATCTAGTTTTAAAAATACACTACCATCAACTTTATTGTCATCCACATACTTTTTATTTGCAGCGTCTTCGTTATCTGTTGGTGTATCAAGTTTAATTATGGGATTGTTATTCATGCTTAGATTACCAATCATTGTTCGGGAACCATTTCTGTCAAGAAATTTGCTGTCCGAATACCCCCTGCTAAGAAAGGGAATCACAATTCCCCCAGAGTTTTTCCCAATGCTACCAAATATTGTAAGAGAATTTACCAAATCACAAATAAACCAAATTAGCAAAGCTTATCAAACAGGTGGTCAATTAGTAATAAAACCAACTCGTAAACAAATAGAAGGAGGATTTTTGGGAACACTTGCTTCTATTGGAATTCCAATGGCAATTAGTTTAGTATCTAAAATGTTTGGTGGGGGACTTCATGTTGATAAAAGTGGATTATCTAATATTTCAAACGTTTACATTCCACCCACACATGGAGAGGGTTATCCTTATCGCTCACCACCCTTTATTGGTACATGGGAAAACCCTATAGGAATGGGTGTTAAAAAAAGAAAAGCCGGCAGACCGTCCAAAGGCAAGGGTCTACTATTAGGAAAAAACAGCCCATTCAACTCAATTCCCATTCTAGGAACAATTCTATAGTTGGGAAACCCCCCCTTAACCATTCTCAGCTCCATTTTGTAATTAAACCTCTATCCAACTTTGACCTCATGGAATGGGTAAAAAGACTTGGTATTAAACATTTCAGAGGAATATATAGTCGTGATGGATTACCAAAAAAGATTAGAAAAGAATGTGGAACAATTAATCTGGATGATATAACAGGGCCTGGAACGCACTGGGTTTGTTATAGAAATCTGGATTCAGTGGTTGAGTACTTCGATCCATTTGGTCTGATAATGCCAAACGAAGTATTAGAGTATTTTCGCACGGGATTTGGAAAACGTATTGTTTACTCGATAGATGAAATACAAAATCGCAGTACTGTTCTCTGTGGTTATTGGTGTTTATATTATTTATTCGAGCGACAAAAAGGTAAAGGTATTCTAGATGTAATACATAACCCTCATTTTGATAATGACAACAGCGATTTTATAAAGTCATACTTTGGAGAATAAAAATAATATTTAATAAATATTATTTTTTTTAATCTTCTTCATCATCATCATCCGGTGCATTTTTTAGTAATTTAATTCTTTCAACTTTTGTATTAAGATCTTTAACAATATCAACTATATCATTAAATTTTGAGTAAATGTCAATAAGACGATAAAGTTTCTTCTTTTTATCACTATCTATTTTCAACCAAGAATACTCCTCATCTCTGATTTTTTCCCACATCTCACATTCACCAGCCATTAGCACTCTAGAAAAATCGTCGTTTTTCTTTCTAAGAGACTCAAACTCATTATTTATTTTTCTCCTTACTTCTTTCTCAAAATCCTCGAGTGTTTTAACATCCATCTTTTTCTCTATCTCAGAAAAGAATTTGGCTTCCATTTTATTTATATGAATAGATAGTTTCCTTTTACAACTTTGTTAAGCGTATTTGATTTCTCACTTATTTCCATTAGAGGTTTGAAAGACAAGAAAACTGAAACTGTGAGTAAAGCATTCGATGACATATTCAAAAGTAAACGTAAACCTCAAATGTTATGGACTGATAAAGGTTCCGAATTTATAAGCAAACATTTTAAAGATTTTCTTAAAAGTAAAGGAATTAAACTGTATCACACTGAAAACAAGGAGAAATCTAGTGTTGTTGAGAGATGGAATAAAACAATGAAAAACAGAATGTGGAAGATGTTTACTGTGAATAACAACACTGTTTACTGGGATAAGATAAAAAAAACTAGTTGATGATTACAATAATGCAAGACATTCTAGTATAAAAATGACTCCTGTTGAAGCAAGTAAAAAGAAAAATGAAAGTAAAGTTTGGTCTAATTTGTATGGTGAATCTATTTACTTTAAACCTGGTAAATCAAAGTTTGCAATTGGTGATCGTGTTAGAATTTCTAAGTATAAGAGGAAGGTATTTGATAAAGGCTACACACCAAACTGGACAGAAGAAATATTCGTAATTGATAAAGTTTTACCTACAAAACCTGTTACGTATAGCATTGTTGATCTGATGGGAGAAAAAATTAAGGGTTCTTTCTACAACCAAGAATTACAAAAAACAAAACAACAAACATTTAGAATAGAAAAGATTATCAGACGAGATAATAAGAAAAAAATGGCATTAGTAAAATGGAGTGGATATCCTGATAAATTTAACTCATGGGTTAGTTCTAAGGATTTGGTTGATTTTTAATACGAAATTCGTATTAAAAATAGTTATTTACTCGTTTTCTTCATCATAGATAACTAAGTCTTCGACTACTTGATCAGTTATCTCTTCAATATCGCTTTGCTCTTCATCTTCCTCTTCAATTGTTAGTAAAGACTCTCTAGGTTTGAGTGGTTTGACATAGCACTCATGTACTTTTATTTGTAAAGATGTTACAGTTTTACTTATGAAGATTCCTTCAATTATTAGAGCCAATTTAACATTACAATACTGATCAATATATTTAAAAGGATTTAAATCTTTACCTCCCTTTCCCTTAAACAAAGATAAAATTTTATTTGATTTTTCTGAGTAAATAAGTTTCGCATAAAAAACTGGTGCGGATGAGGGATCAATTCTTGTTTTCTTCTTTCCTTTTTTATCAGTGTATTCTTCCTGTTTGTAATATAAAACAGAAGTTCGAGTTGAAGCTAAATCTGCTCGGTATTCATTCTCTAAATGTTGTTGAGATAAAGATGTTAAGTTATTAATAACATCCAAAAATGCTTTTTCTTTCTTACTTGGTTCGCTATCTTTAGCCCAAAGACATACTGGAATACTATAACCTACTAACTTTTTTGTTTCTTGATTTTTCTTTTCACTAACACCAAAACTAAAAAGAAATGGGGTTTCGATTACAAGCGGTCCTTTCTTTCCATTCGAATATTTGATTTCAATTGGGATACGCTTGTATTTAATCTTACTATCTTTGACTTTAAATTCTTTGGCCTCTTTGGTAAGATTTTCGTAGCTGGACAACTGCATTTTTGATTATAAATTTTTATTCCTTAAATCATTATACCACTCATCTGTTTTTGTAATTGGTAAAGGAATTTCTAAAATTTTATTATTTTCCTCTTCTTCCATGAAACATTTATCTAACATTAAAAAGGTTTTTCCGTCAAATAAAGTAAAACCAAAAATAGCATATATATATGCTAATGAATCTGAAATAGATTTTATTTTGTCTAAATCGAACTTTTTACCTTCGATATAATTTTCTAAATAATTACACAAAATTTGAGCTATATATGAATAAAATGGTTTTATTTCATTAAACTCCTCGCTATCTTCGTAGTCTTTCATTATAAAATAAATATTTTTAAATATCGATAAAAGTCTACTAAAACCTTTCAAAATTTTCTGTTTTTTTAAATCATTAGTTTCTTTTGTTTCCTTTACTTTTTTAGCTAATTTATCAATGATAAAATAATCATCAAGAAACATTTTTCTTTATTTTAATTAAATATTTAAGCATTTTTTTCTAAAAATTTAAATGTGTATCTATCACCGTCTTTTTTTGAAATAACTGTTTTACAATATTTTACTTTTCGACAAATATTAGAAATAATTGAAAAGGAAATATCTAATTCAACTGAAGCAGAAGAAATACTTTCATATTTTTTTTGTTTGTTGTTTTTGATTTTAAATGATACAATAGGTTTACTATTTCCTTTTCTCACATTTTCTGCTAAAGTTAGTAATTGTAAATTTTCAATTTTATTATTCGTTCTAACAGAATCAATATGATCAATAACAAATCCTTCTGGTATTACTCCTTTAATACATTCCCATTCAAACCTGTGTATAAGGTAACTCTTTGGTTTAATTAGATTTTTATCGCTGATTTTAAACTGATAGTAACCCTGATAAGTCAATTTTTTTTTTTAATTCTTCCAGTTTTTACAGTTAAAATTTCACCTTCTTTTGAAGCAGCATATTTGGAAAAAAATAGGATGAATATAATATTTCTTTTCGTCAATTAAAACTTTTTTGCGCGTCATTTTTAAAAAAATCTTTTAATCCTTCTTCTAAAACGTTTATAAGTTCTTTCTTAAAATTATTATCGTCATTAACATAATATTTACTAGCAAAAGAAATTTCATTAGATGAACTAGTTAAACCATCATTACCATTTGAACTCATTTTTATTATATTTTTTTTTATTCTTTTAAATCATTTTTTAGGCCAAAGTAAATGAACGGACCAGAAGTTAGCCGATTCAGGATTATTATAAGTTAACTCCCCCTGTTTATTTTTAATCTTTGTAGCATGACTAAGATATTTATCTCTTCTATCTTTGTCTTTGTGAGTAAGATAATCGGCATATTTTGTCGATCCAAAATGAACTTTTTTTCCTCTTGGAAGTGTAACCATGTATTTGTTATTTTTGCGTGTTGAATAATCAAGCGATTCAGCACCGAGTTTTTTAGCATTTCGGGTTAACTTTTTAAACTCTTTTCCACTAACAAGATATTTTTCATCTGGAATATAATCTGGATCCTCATCATGTCTATAACCATCATCAACTATAAAATCCAAATCCTCTTTTGTAGGAGTAGTTTCTCTTGATCTTGGTTCCATTTTTATTAGTTGTTTATACTAATCCTAATTCTTTTTCAAACTTTTCTTCCCTTCTATGTATTTCTTCATGTCCTATTTCTTTTACTTGCTCTGGTGTATACATATGAGTAAACATAAGATATTTAGTAAAAGGATCTAATTCCTCGTCATTTCCAAGAGTTTTAATAACACCTGCGATACCCCTCTTAGCTGTATCAAGAATACCCTCTAAATAAGAGGAAAGATAATGTGACCCATACTTATCTTCTTCAAAAGGAAAATCAGGTTTTGTTGGTAATTTTTCAATGAGATCATAAATTTCATAATGTCTAGCTAATTTTTCTGCTAATTCAATCTTTTTCTCATCATTACTCTCTTTTAATTTTTTCATTGCTTCAGTCATATTTTTTTTCTTTCTTTCTCTTGGCATCCAACCACAACTTTAATACCATTATCTTCAAATTCCTTTAATAACTCTTCCATTTTTATAATATGTTTATACTAAAATCTTATAACAAAAATTGTTATAAGATTAATCACTATCACTATCACTATCACCAAAACAATATCTATAACGATATCTATCTCTATCAGCATTATAATCCCAAAATCTATCATCAGCTTCATATTTTATTTTAAACTTACTACAAAATAATACAAAATCATCATAAATATTTTTGAAACCAGGATAGGGAACAATAAAATTTTGTTCATCTCCATGATAACAATCTTTTTTATATTCAATTAGGCGATTAAAATCATTAAAATTTTTTTAATCTTAATTAAGTTTTTAGTATCACTACTTTTAATCTCAAAATTACTAACATCTTTAAATTGGCCTAAATTTTGATATGCTAAAAATAATTTAATAAATTTTTTTATTTTATCAACTCTAAAATTTTCAAATAATTCACGAGTTGCTTCGTTCATGTTATCAAGAAAATACTTAAACTCATTATTAATACCCAATATAAAAAGGTATTCATTCTTAAAATCCTTTGCGTAATTTGGAATAACCTTGCTAATCATTGTGTTTTATTATTATATTAATTTCTTTAAATCATTTTATTTTTCCACTTCAACCTTATTAAAACAGGTTTTACCAGAAAATAGTTGATAACAGTGCTTAATCAGCTAATGACGTAATTAATCAGAAAAAAAAGTCAATGATAGAAAATAACCAGAAAAAAGTACAAGACGTGAGACACAAATTAATTGAACAATGACAGAAGATAAACTCAGAAATTAATTTTAAAAAGTACAAAAATTTCTTTGTCTAAATTCCGTCATTGAAATTTTGTGTCAAATGAGGGAAATAATTGAAAAATGGCAGGGGAAAAGTACCAAGTGAGTGAGTACCATGGCATCATTATATAACTACTGATTGGCTTAGACAAAATATTGTTGGTTTTAATGTTTACCAACTCAATGATCCCCGACAGCAGCAAAAACGGGCTAGAACCAGCTGAAGCAGATATTGTGGAAGACCAACAAGATTTGCCAACACTATTAAGTGAAGATATGATGAAACTTGGTCTGATAGCACAGGTTAAGGAAGATCATTCATCGTTGCCACCAAATAGAAAGAGACGAATTTCACAAGCTGATGTTCTTGAAGAGCAACACAAGGCATTAAAACTGCAACAAGAAATGCTAGAGCTAAAGAAAACAAAGCTTCGAATGGAAATTCTTCTTATCAGCAAAAAACTGGGTGAAGAAGGTAAGGAAAACATCCCAATTTGAATGCAGGATATTTTTTATGAACACTTTATATTGATATTGGGATTTTACATAAGCTTACAATGTTTTGTAAAATGTTTCAGATTCTACATAAATTTCAAGCATATTTTTTCATACACAAAATCTTGTTTATCCCACTTATGGAAATAATGTCTCTGTGACCAGTTACATAGTAATATATTTCATTTTGATTCAAATCCATTATTTTATATTGCATTAAATTAAGTTTTTATTATCAATTACATTCCATGATAAAATTAAAAACAACTTTGCCCAATCCATAATTGGCATATATTTTCCATTATGGGTAGCACTTATATCATTAAAAGATTTTTTTCCATTTCACATTACATGTCATCTTCTTGCCTCTTGAAAGAACGTTTGAGTGAACTTTCAACTGAATAGCATGTTCTCCACAAATCCAAATGGTGCTATTTGAGCAACACAAAATAATAAATTGTATCACAAAATACTTTACAGCAGCTTGACAGGCATAGTAGCTGTATATAGAATTTTTCTTATTGCTACTAGATATATATCACCTGAGTGAGATAGGGTGGGGGTCACACAGTACTAATTACATTTCCTCCAAGAAAAAGTAGAGGTGGAATTGAGTCTTTTGTTTCTTGCATTCTCCTTTCATTTTTATTATCCATGTAAAACTGAGAGGAAGGATCCATATTGGTATTACGAAATGTAAGTGTTAATGTTGGCTTAGGGAAGGAGTAGGTGGACAGTTTCCCAGAAACCTGTAATGATCTCATAAGTCATTACTATTTGGAATCTTTACAACACTGACAGGCAGAATTGTAGGAATTATTCCTTTGTACTGGTTTCCTTTTATCCAGAAAATGTCTTGTAGTTCCAAGTGTATTAACAGTGGTTTCTGTCACCTCCCATTTTTACCATATACAATCATTCTGACAATGTTTTCTCGGAACAATATTTTGAATGTCAAACTACTGGAAGTATTATACCAAATGTTAAGGATTTCCAAACTATCTCAGAGATACCTGGTCATAATACTTCCATTGGTGTATTTACATTAACTGTTAAGCCTTAGGCAGTGACATAAAAATTTTGAACATTTTGGCGAGAGATGTTGTGACTATGTCAGGACATAAACAGTACCAATAGCTGAACAATTAAGTTCTTCAAAGAGGACAGCATTTTTGGAACAAAAGACATGCGACAAAGTTTATACTCTTCTTGACTTGTGAGCCTCTGTATTGGGTATTTTAGACAAAATCGAAAAGTCACAAAGACCACTTTTGATGAAGCAACAATCTTAGCAATTAAAGCGACAATGGCTTGAATGTTTCAACCAAGTTTGACAATGTTAGACGTTGAATGATGGCGAACTCACTAGTAGCACTGGAACACAAAATGATTCTTGATATACAACAATTTTACCTGAAAATCAGATGATTTGAAGGAAAATGTGTAACAAAATAGACGTCAGCAGCTATTACCCATACAGAGAGTCTGACATCATTTTTGAAGATTGCAATATTGACGATGTTTAAGTTATTTAATGAATTTAGATGCTGACACCGTAAGATATACCTCTAGTGGAGAAAAGGGAATTTGGAAAAAAGGTGTGGCAAATGTGATCTCTCACAGCCTTTCCATTCTCTGGGCCATGAAAGGGGGCCATTGCTGGCTGGTCGTCGTCATGCAGGAGGTGGCAATCCTGTGGTTCACTCCTTAGTATTGCGATGTTGTGCAATATGGTGCAAGCTCCAATAATAAGGCAGACCTTCTCAGGCTTCATTCTTACTTCTGAGTGAAGCAAATGAAACCTTCGCTTCCACCATCCAAAGGTGTGTTCAATGGCCACCCTTGTAGCTTTATGGGCCTGGTTGAATGCTTCCTCATTTACAGATGTAGGGTTGAGATATGGGGTCATGAGATATGGTTTACAAGGGTACCCAATATCTCCAAGAAGCAAGCCATCTTCCAATGTGCGGGGCTGAGGCTCAAACCTCTGACCAATCAATGAACTGCTAAATATGAAGCTGTCATGTGTGCTACCAGGCAATCGTGGAACGATGTTCGTAAACATGCCTATAAAAATTTCAACAATAACTTTTGTACTTTATTGCATAATTCCATAAAGTATCCATACCTTCCATATTGAGAGTTTTTATTGATTGTTAGAGACTCCATCCTTCTAGAAATTCCATGGTTAAATCTCATAGATTTCTGATAGGGTTTTTGGATTTGAGCCCCCCTCCTTCCAATCTTTTTGTTTGAAGAGGACGAGGATATCTGACTTTTTGTGGGCCTCAAGCACTGTAGTGAAAAATATTTACACTTAAGGGACCAGTCATTATTTATCGCCGGGGGGGGGGGGGATTTTAGTGGGGGGATCACTTAATTTTGAGGAGAACAAAAGGGGGGATCCGTCGTAACTGAGAACCCAAAAGGGGGATCGCTGAAAACTTTGGAAGGATTCAGAGAGGGACCGCTCAAATTTGCTTGGTAAATGAAGACATGGGGGGGATTGCGAAAGTCATCTAAAGTTGTTGTAATTTACAAGGACAGAATACCAGAACCAAAAATCCAAGTAAACCACTTGACATGGTGCGCGGCATAAAATGAACTTGACGAGAAGTGAAGGAAGTAACATGAACAGATTTATTGAACCAGAGATCAATGTTCCTAGCACAGAGGTCACAACTTGATACAGAAGAATCGACGAGGTCGATTGACAAGACAAAAGGTCCTTAAGTTGGGAAACAAGTCGTACAAGGTCGGTTCGAACTGAAAACGATAAAATCGAACAAAAACTTAGCTAAAAATACGTAGAGTGCAAATATATCTGACTAAAAACCGATGATACCAAATAGCGAATGAGAACTAAATAACACTAGAAAATACACTAAATCACCCTATGAAGTGATTAAAGTAATACGACGATAAAACTGCTGGTATCAATCACTCAGCATACTCATGTTGAAGAGTAGCGCATAAGAACCCTCAAAACCACTGCAGCTCAGTGATGACAAGAATTACTGTCACACCAAGATGGGTTCAACAAGTGTATTGGCAAAATGACAAACAAGAAATCTGACAAAAAACAGACCTTAAGGGTGGGAAGGGTGAGTTGTCAAGGCCTAACGCTAGGAGATTGTCCAACAACTAAAGCACATGTAGAGGTCACATGATCAATTCTGGCCAATGACTGTTCGCCATTAATTACATGTATTAACATAAATTAATACTACCCAATTACTGTCACACCAAGATGAGTTCAACGAGTTTATTGGCAAAATGAAAAACAAGAAATCTGACAGAAGACAGACCCCAAAACCCAAGGTGTGAAGTAATGAGGAAGTAGTGAAAGCTAAGTGGTAGTGACCTAATCATGAGTTGTAGGGATGTGCTGAGCTAAGGTTTTAGCAGCATTGAGTTTTTGAGTGGTGTTGAGAACTAAATAAACCATATAAGCATCTGATGACCAATCCCCTAAGAATTTAATGAACAAGGGTGAAGCACCAGCATGAAAGGCAAAAGTAGCACCTCCCCTTCTGAAGCTGTGGGGAGAATATTGTGTGGGATCCAACCCAAGACTAACTATGCAAGACTTACGGAATTTAGCAAAGTGATACCCTGTAACAGGCTTGAATGCTGTTGAGGTATGAATAGTAAATAAAGGTGCCTCAGTGTCCGCGGTTACATACCGAAGATGACGTTTCAATGCGGAAACAGGACATAACACTGAGTGAGGGATAAATGGCAGAACAATTTCAAGGGCCCTCTGCCTAAACTGAATAGTTTTGGTTTTGTATCCATGGAGTGTACAGTGGTCTTGATGAAAGCTAACATTGCAAATTCTTAAGTGAGTAGCTGAAGCACTAGTAACATTGGCTATTGTGGTAGGAACTAAATTAGATTTACGCAACAATGAGAAAAATGCAACAAGAAAAATTGTCCACATGCAAACATGCAAGGCATGACGAAAATCCAACAACTTGAAAATGGCTAACAAAATGTCAACAGTAATAGGTAATTTATGCCCTACTGGTTTGGCTAGCACACGTTTGGCAGCCTGTTTGAGAAAATTAATCTGTGATGATGCAAAAAAAGTGATGTCAGCTCCAAAGTATAGATTAACTTTCTTAAGGCAACTGAGATAATTGTTAACAGAATTATATGAAGAAAAAAAACCTACAAGAAAGGCTAAATAGAGCCAATAGACCTGCTCAGTTACCGGAAAGGCTGGTAGGTCATAAGCTTTACAAAATAAGAAATAGGCTCTAAGTTGTGTTCTGCGGGTACGCATTGTTCCTTCACTAAGTGCTGATTTCTCGAGCAGACCAAGGTAATGGACCAGGGATGCTTTTGCGGAGAAAACAGTGTGCCCTTTAGCACTTGCTTTGAGCTGCTGCATAACCGGAAAGGTGGGGTTTGCTAGCTGATTCTGCTCCTCTCGCGACGGTGGGGTCAGTTCATTCATGAGCGATGCAAGGATTTTTTCTTGCGACTGGTCGTGCATAAGTTGACCACGTGCATCAGCTGACATTTTGTCTTGTGTTGTTCGGAGTGCTTCTGCGCCGAGTTTTTCCTTCTGTGAAAGAAGCTTTAACTCCAGTTGAAGGTTTTGCTGTTTTAACCGTCTTGAATGTTTGCGGATTTTGTAGATTTCTTCTTTGCCACAGCGCCCGTCACAGCTGGCATTGTCGCTGGGACCTGTGCGGCCGCCGAGGGAGTCGCATTTGGATCAAAATCAGTAGGAAAAACCATAGCAGGAAGGTCATACACAAAATCTGGATTGAGTGATTGTTTGACTGATCTTTTAGGCTTGGAAGCTGCCATGGTTGAGGATACTCAATTGAGGAAGCGTGGAGAGATGACACACCAAGAGTTGCCACAAATGAGCTGGAGTTCTTTCAATAAAAGCCGGTGGCTGAATGAAGGAAGTTTGTTTTCTTTAAGATGACTGAGGATAAACAGAGTTGCCTGGAGTAAGGAAGAGGCTCCTGGATCGATTTTGGATGGAGAGTGATCTGGCGAACGACAGAGATCACGGAGCGACTTTTGTGAAGGCCTAACGCTAGGAGACTGTCGAACAACTAAAGCACATGTAGAGGTCACATGATCAATTCTGGCCAATGACTGTTCGCCATTAATTACATGTATTAACATAAATTAATACTACCCACTAAATAGATTCCTCGCATAAACAAAAGATTACAACAACAATGTTGCAAATTGATAACCAAAACTAAGCTCTATAATTCCTATGATGAAATTGATACTGGAAAAACTAGAAAGAAAAGGAAAACTATACTCACTTTGGTTTACACACACACCAGTGTTATCTTGAATCAAAAGCTAAGCTGAACTTGATAGTTGATGAGCACGAGTGTAGATAGAAATGAAGCCCCAATGGCTGACAGAAGTTATCACCATGAAGTCTACACTAGAACTGAACTAACTAAGATGAAAACGCTAAATTTGTGATAAAGAAAACGTGCTTGAAAACGATCTAGAAATTACTACGTATTTTCCAGGCGGACATAACCAAAAAGGGCTGGGAAAGTAGCCGTGGGCTTATCAATAAAAATCATCATTTATGTAGGCAATAATCGATTCACAATAATTAATGTAAGCACGCTCTTGCACCAATAAGGGATAACGAAAAGAAATCACGTTTCAAAACCAACAGTTGTTAGGAGGGATTACTTCAGTGAAGTAACATTCAAAGGGGGGATCAGCTAAATTTCACCTTGTTTAGTCCCAAATCCTCTGTGTCCCCAGGCGATAAATAATGACCGGTCCCTTAGCTCCATTTTTTTTTACTTATGTTTATCTACGTTCTGCCCAAAGATAATTGAATTCAAACATGTGAGTGAGATGACAAACATGTCAATTATCAACTCTCTTATGGGGTCCCCACCATAAAAACATACTACAGGGTTGATTACTTTGCTAATTATTAATATTTTTTCACCAGTAGAGTTAAAATCTTTTAAATATTAATAGAACTTTCAACAAATATTCTCTGGAGCACATGAACTTCTACCACCCCCTCAGATAATATGTATTATTTCTGCTTTGTTCTTTATCATTTGTATATTGGACGCTTATTGAAAATGATATACTTCTTTTTTACCTTTATGGTTGCATACTGCTTGGACATTGATGGAATGGAAGCCCTTTCGGTTGACATAGTCATTCTCATTTTTGTAGGGTGCTTGGATCCTCACATGGGTCCCGTCGATACAACCTACAACACCAGGGAACCCTCCCTTCTCGTAAAATCCTCTTTTGACTTTTTGAACTTCAGCAGGTTCTGTAGGGAAGTTGATGAACTCCTCCTGCTTGTTCACAAGAGCCTTTAACACGTCGGTCACAATTCTTGAAACAGTGGATTTAGGAAGGCCAACGGTGTCACCAATTATTTGTAGGAAACTGCCGCTGGCAAAAAAATGCAACGCTACAAGAACTTGTAGCGTTGGCGACAGCGCATGATTTCTTTGCGTCTGCCTTTGTAGGTCGTCTTTCAGGATTTCTACAAGAAATTTTATTGACTCCTGTCCAAACCTGTAGCTACTGCGGAGTTCTTCGTCAGTTAGTTCGTCGAGGTCAATTTCTTGCTGTTGGAACTTTCTTTTGCATATTAGCAGGTCAATTAGAGGGAACAGTAAGTCCGCCATTTTGTTTGTTTTGACAAATTTTTCCCCCGATTAGCGAGTTATTTGTCCTCGCTAGGTGGGTTAAATTTAACATTTAGTTTATTCCTAGATTAAGATTAATCGTGCTTTCAGGAACAGAATCTAATAGTGGGATAAAATTTATTCGGCGATTAGCGATATTTAATCCTCGATAAGCGCTAATCAGCTTTCCAGGAACCGGGGCCTGTTTAATAAGTTGGAGCTTATTGACCTTATTGTATGATTACTTTGCCGGTAGATAACTGGGCGGTCTGTCAAGGACATGAAGATTTTTCAAGTAGAGTTCAATGCAGAGTTTCGTTATTCTAAAGATAAAAACGTAAAAATATATGTTTCCATGCAACTAAGACACTATTTATTTCAGAATGGCATTCTTCCTGTGCATCTCCGAATTTATACAGGGGTGTAACCAGGTAGCCAGGATCTGTTTTGAGCCCTGCGAGTAATTTTGAATGTCAACCTGTATCCCCTGGGTGTCAGAGGTATTTTTTTCATAATTTTTGGTACATTTGTAGCAAAGACCAAACCATGAGCATGTTCTGTTTCAGTACTGTTTGAGAATTGTGTTGTGAATAAACAGCTCGAGTTGGTTATACTGAGGTAGATTAGGACATTATGGGTCGTTTATTTAAACAAAGTCTAACTTTGATCGCAGTTAAAGAAATCTTTGGACCTGCAGATCTCTTCCTTAGGGGGTCGATTTAAGAAGATAAATGCTTTTCTTGTTCACACTATATGCTTTAATGAAATTGTCAACAACAAATGGTGTTTACATAAAAACGTTGGGCAAACTGAAAATGACTTAAAACGCAGTTTTGTTAAACAATGGCTAAACTCCATTTAAATAACTGCCCCTATATGTTTGTAGATTAAGGGAGCTAAGTGGACAGGTAATTCCTGTTTGAAACCATTGGAAGGAATGAGGTCATTTCCATGTGAAAGTCTCTGGGATGACGATGCTCATCAGAACTAAGTAAGCTCTCGAAAGTGACCAGTCAGAATTTGTACATTGGAGCGAGACAAGGATTCCCGGACAAATGTCAGTCATCCTGGTGGTTCAGATATTCTAAAAAGTGACCAGCGATAGTGCATATGATAATTTA